CCGTTGCCGAGTTGCTGCTAAATCAAACAAGCATCAAGTTCTCAAAAACTACCTAAGCTTTTTTCTCTTGTGAAAGTCAATTTTGTTAAGAATAGAAAGAAAGCCGAGTAGTTCAAACGATACTCGACTTCAGATATACCCAAGATTACTCTTAGTCGTAAAAAATGCCTGTCTTTTTTTTGGTGCTATTTTTAAATTTAAACTTTTTAGCTTTTAATCTAATTTAACTAGACTTCGGGTAAAAAAATAGATTTGGAGAAAAATGTCTTTTTAGCCTTACATTTCATGTTTTAGTGACGTCAACGCAACGTGGGGAAGAGAAAATAATAAAATAGAGCCACGTCAGTATTTTCAGTTAGTCAAATTGGACAGAGTTAGCGAAAGGATTTGATTACATCAATTTCAAAATTTTAGGACTTAATTGCACTTTTTTTTAAAAGTACTAAGGCTTCTATTGCACTTATCCAAAAAACAAATGTAGGTAAAAAAGAGCTAAGATGAATCAACACGCAACCAAATCCGCAACAACTTTATTCTATCGATGAATTTATTGAGCAGTTTTAAGTAACTGCTACAAAAAAACATTCACTAGATGGCGGACTTAACAATGCACTGGCTACGACAAGCCTCAATTGTGGATAGGATTAGGTCGAGACGGGACATCGTGCAAGATCTGGTTGTGGCTGGGATTTAGGTGCAGAGGGGACTTACGTGCAACATCCGGTTGTGGTCAGGATTAGATGCAAAGGAGACTTAGGTCTTGCATGAAAACCATTCGTTCGGTTCCGTCAACTGGTTTTTTGTTTCGAATCGTTTGGACCGAAACCCGTTTGGTAACGCAATTTCATTTTTCTATTTCCGGACAAGTTTGCTTCCAAAATTGATTCTGAAACCAGAAATGAGAACAAAAAAAAGTTGGTTTTCATTTTGGAACAAAAGTGAGAACCATTTCGAGGAATTCATTTTCTTCAACACACATATTCATATGAAAGTCACGATCTTCGAGGTGAGAAAAAAAAGCAAAAAATCAAAATTTCAAAACTTAACAGAATGGTTTAGAATCTGGGCTACCCACTTTCAGAAATTTAAATTTTTTAGGTACCGAAAAAAATAAATAAAAATAAAAATTTCACAAAATGGCTTAGAAAACCTATGGCCACCCACTTTGAGCAAAATTTAATTTTTTTAGTTGCCAAAAAAAAAAAAAATTCTAAAATTTAAAAACTTCACGAATATCTTAGAATACATGCACAATTTGAGCGAAATTTTATTTTTTAGGTGCAAAAAAAAAAAAAAAAAAAATCAAAAATTTCAAAACTTTCTGAATGACTTAGAATACTTGTGGCCATCCACTTTGAGTGAAATTTAAATTTTTAAGGTGCCGAAAAAAATAAAAAAATAAAAAATTTCAAAACTTCACGAATAGCTTAAAATACTGTGCCACCCACTTTGAGTGAAATTTAAATTTTTTATATGCCAAAAAAATAAAAATAAGCAAAAAAGTAAAAATTTCAAAACTTTCGAATGGCTTAAAATACACGTGGCCACCTACTTTGAGCGAAATTTTATTTTTTTATGTGCCGAAAAAATAAAAATAAAAAATAAAAGAAAAATTTCAAAACTTCACAAAATGGCTTAGAATACTGGCCATCCACTTTAAGCGAAATTTAAATTTTTTTAGATGTCGAAAAAAAAATAAAAATAAGCAAAAAGAAAAATTTTCAAAACTTCACAGAGTGGCTTAGAATACATGTGGCCATCCACTTTGAGTGAAATTTAATTTTCTTTAGGGACCAAAAAAAAAAAAACCATTTGAGCATCTAAAAAAAATTAAATTTTACTCAAAGTGGGTGGCTAGAGGTATTGTAAGTCATTCTGTGAAGTTTTGAAATTTTTGATTTTTGTTTTTTTCACCTAAAAAATTTAAATTTCACTCAAAGTGGATGGCCACATGTATTCTAAGTCATTCTCTAAAGTTTTGAAATTTTTGATTTTTGCTTTTTTCACCTCCAAAATTAAAATTTCACTCAAAGTGGGTGGCTCTAAGCCATTCTGTAAAGTTTTGAAATTTTTGAGTTTTTGAATTTTTTGGGCACCTTAAAAATTAAAATTTCACTCAAAGTGGTGGCCACATGTATTCTAAACTATTCATGAAGTTTTGAAATTTTTGATTTTTGATTTTTTTGGGCACCTAAAAAATTTAAATTTCACTAAAAGTGGGTGGCCACATGTATTCTAAGTAATTCTGTGAAGTTTTGAAATTTTTGATTTCTTGATTTTTTGAAAAAATTCAACAAATTTTCTATTTTCCCGAAATCTAAATTTTTTTATTTTCTCGACATTTTGATGATTTTTTCTGGAATTTTTCAATTTTTTGGGATTTTCTGAATTTTTTAAAGATTTTTATGAATTTTTCGGATTTTTATTATTTTTATTCCATTTCTAAAAAATGGAATTTTGTTCCTGAAATAGAATTTTCTTTGTTTATCAAACGGGTTTTTATTTCGGGAAATAGAAATTTTGTCTTTGTTATCAAACGGGTTTTGTTCTAGAAATAGAAATTTTTGTCATTATCAAACGGGTTTTTTCTCGAAACTCATCCAGGAACCAGAAATAGAAAAATCTATTTCTGGTTCAGGAACTCATTCCGGAACAGAATGGTTATCATTCGCTACCTTAGTGCAAGATCCGGTAGTGAAAATTGGTTGCTTTGCCTTCTTTCTCCGACGCCAGCAGGGCCACTCGTGACCAGGTCCCTCGCCTTTGTTGTAGGGAGAGAAGCTAGGCCAAAAGCTAAAATGAGCATGAGGAGGATCATCCATGAACATTTCAGATTAGCTCTCGCCATTGTTTCTTTCTTCTTCTCTTTACCTAACATTTTTCTCCCAAAAGTGTATGCATGACTCTTGCTCTAGTATCGCTATTTATAGGTACGAATTCTATTGAGAATGATGTCATCTCTATATTGCTTGTTATGACATTACTCATGCGTAGTGAGTTCTAGATTTGTTTCCAGAATTGATATTTGATAGATGAAATTTTGCGCAAGTTATCCCACATACTTCCATATATACATAAGAACTTCCGTCAAGAGTTAGATTCTAAGTCAGTCCTTTTATAGAATCCGCTATTGAAAGGTATGAATTCTATTGAGAAAGATGCCATCTCTATATTGCTTGTTATGACGTTACTCATGTGTAGTGTTAGAGTTCTAGGTTTGTTTCTAGAATTGATTGATGCAAATTAGCACAAGTTACTCAACATACTTTCATGTATACATGAGAACTTCCTTGACAGCCAAATTCTAAGTCAGTCCTTTGACAGAATCCATCCCTGGATAAATATACTAGAAGTACCATAATTTTTGTACGGCGCTCACTTGAATGTCATAACTTTTTTTACTCACTTGAAAGCCAAAATTTTAGAAATCGATCAATTAAGTGCCATCAGCGATTTGCCTCACCGGAAAATCCAACATAGACACTGGCCGGCGCTGATTAGGACGACCAGTGTATCGTCATTACTCTTATTAAGAGTATGATATGTTGGAAAATCCAACATAGAGACTGATTTGCGCTCACTGATCGTGGTATCGTCGGCGCTGACGTGGACAATTAAAAAATTTCAAAATGAAAAAAAAAAAAATCTACGTGGGAATGGGAAATAAGTAGATTAGGTTTAACATTTAAATGAGCAATTACATAAATGGAGAATTAATAAAAAAAAATTCAAAAAAAAATCCACGTGGGAATTGGAAATTAATAAAAAAAATTTCGTAGGATGATTTGCCAGAAATGGCACTCATACTCATTATCTTAGCCTGAGGCTTTGTTTATTTTTGGCCAAAATTGTTTAATGTTGGAAAAATGATGACAAACGTTTTATAAATTGATTGTATTTAGTGTGATAATGATCCATTAAGCTCTGAACGAAACTGTGAATATAACTCGGGGAAAAAAAGGCCCTGAAGTGGGATTATTATCTCAAAAGAGGGCTCAAAATGGACATTACTTCAAATAAGAGTATGATATGGCCAAATCAGTCTCAAATAAGGGCCTAAATCGGGCGGAGTTGGGACCAAGTAAGCGTGGAGACGGTTCTTAATGTCAATGGCAGCAGCCTGGCGGATCTGCTTGTTGATGGAGGACTCGGCAACGAGGCGGAGGACGGCGAGGGAGTAGTTGGGGTGATGGAAAGCATCGGAAAAGGAGGACTTGGCCTGGCAGCAAGGGTCCAGGGCCATAGATTGTGTGGAGGAAGCATTGGGAGAGGAACTGAAGTGTCTCGTGATGTGACTCCATGTAGCTTGAGCAGGAGCTCCGATGAGAGAGGCGTTGGACTCTTACGGTTTAGGCGAGATTTTGAATGTGGAAAAGGAGAAGAAATAGAGGCTGCGATCGCAGAACTCTTCCAGCACTGGCACAGGGGCACCTTTAGCAATAATTATCGCCTCCATTCCGGGCCTCTTGCGATGATGTCAAGCTCCAAGAGAGAGGCTTGGCATTGAGCTTCGCCATCCCAAATTCTTGAATTCATCTTGCAGCGATTCGTCAGACTCTACCATCCTCTTCTTTCTCCCCATCGCCGATCTCCCCTCTGGTTTGAACAAAAATGTCATATTTTGGAAACCGAAAAAAATCACCCTACCGTCCTCTTCTTTCTCCCCATCGCCGACCTCTCTCCTCTGGTTTGAACAAAAATGTCCTATTTTGACCACCGAAAAAATCAAGTGCTCGCCAGCCAATGCTTAGACCCTTATTTAAGATTCAGACTCGGCCACTTTAAGCCCTTATTTGAAACTAAATTCATTGTAGGCCCTTTTTGATAAAATAAATCCACTTCAAGCCCTCATTGAAATTTTCCCCATATCCCACGATAATAACACGCCCCTATATAAATTTCTATATGGATTTAATCCATGACCAACGTACACCACCGCAATCAGTAGATGTCATAATCCACTTAGGCATCATCAACAGCAATAAAAGGGGATAAAGAAAGACATAAGAATCGATCTTTATAATTTCTCAACTATCTTTGGACAATTGTCAGTTTGACAAATGTATCTACAGAGAATGACAAGTTTCTCAAGGTAAATGACAGTCCCTATATCGATCCGTGTCGAAGCGAGAGCCAGTGTGGAGAAGAGACTTCATCTATAATTAGATTAGTTGAACATTCAACATGAATTTTTTTCACCTGAACAGACAAAGAAGAAAAAAATTTGCAGGATGAAAAGGAGACTCAACATGCCGGCTAAGGGAACACGGACTCAGCATATCAAAATCTGAAGTCAGGTTCCACGTCCATCGCCCAAGCAAATTTTGCCAACAGAGACTTGTTGAATATCTGCGACAGCAAATAATATAGGTCATAACATTTCAGAGACCGGAGGACCCGGCAAACAAAAAAATCAGGACACCAGGCAATTCGGAATTAGTGTGCCGTCCCTTTCTAGTGGTAGAAAAAGTAGCACTAAAATAATGTTACCATTGATTAGATCATAAAATGACCAATTCTGAAGATTGCCTCGACATGTGCAAGGTTTAAAGCTACTACTAACCTTTTCAATTGGAACTTCGTGCCGCTTGCACCATGCAACCGTGATCCTTGGGTCAAGATAGTTGATTTTGGATGTGCCCAGTGCAACAGTTTTCAGATCTTCTCTGGTAGTTTTGTCCCGTTCCATTTTCTCAATTTTCACCTCAATCTGAGCAATCTTCTTCTCTAACCTGCACAGCGGCAAATGAGGTAATATGGAAAATCATAAACATCTACATAGCTGCAGAATCAGAAACAGGTAGCAATTATATTACGCTTCTGAAGTCAAGTTCCTCTTTCGCTTTCCATCAGCATCCTTTAGAGGAGGCTTTCCTTTTCGTGCCCGATCCAAATCTACTTTTATCTCTTTCATATTGTCCTGCACATGATTTAGGATGTCAGCTTCGTTCCAACTCGAATGAATTCTTAAAGTTCCTAGAATCTCTTGTGCAAGTCCATAGAGAAAAGCACGGTCCATTTGCAAAACTGATGCGAAAATTGGAAGACATAGGTCGGGACCAGATATCTTGTATGATAACCGGAGATTGAGAGAGAAGTTGTCACCTTCAATTCATCTATCTTCTCTTGCAACTTGGTCATTTGTGCCACATGGGATTTCGAAATGCTACGTTGATGATTGCAAATTATAGCAACCTGAAGACCAAAAATTCGTAACTACAATCTATACTTGTTTATGCAGCGCATATTCTTCTGTAATAAACAATAATTACCTCTTTGTTTGCACGCTGATAGACTACAACTTTTTCTGCAACTTCTCCATCTTTGGTGTCTCTACTTAACTGTCATCAAACAAATGAAAAGCTTCCATATTATATTCCATCATTTCACAAAATTATGGTAGTGTAAGACCACCAACTGTGTTTTACATATGACCACGTCCATCGTATGTATCAACAAGCTAACCAGCTCCAAAGATCCCTTGATGACTAGACATCATTCGATAATGATACCTTTCCGTTTTGATGGGATGCATCTAAATATGTGCATGTAACACATGTTTGTTCTTGTTGCCAAGGCATATAAGCTTAAAAAGTACTGCAGATGAATGTAGTTTCCCATGGCTAATTAATCTATCCACCCGACAGATGAAGCACATCAAACACACTGCAACACCAATTAAAATCCCCTCAAAAAGCAAATGTAAGCTTACCATCTCATCCAAAGTAATGGAAGCGTTATATGTACGGAAAACTTTTGCTGTCAGACCAGGCATGAGTTCCTTTAGATGAGCATTCAGTTTACTTGTATCCAGCTCATCGAAAAGAGGATCACCAGGCTTTTTCCCTACAAAAACAAAGCAAAGCAAGATAAATTTACCACACGAAAAAGCAAATGCATGTCTAATTTTAAATGGGTAACAAGTCATATAACTAACCAGATTGAAAGTGCACAATTGCCTTGTAGACGGGGAGCTCAACTTCTACAGTGTTTTCATATCGGATAGAGTCTTTACCAAGAAAGTTAAACTGAAAATTGACAGAGTACAACAGCCATTTTAGCTCCAAGAAGCAAGCAGAAATATTTGAACTTTCAGTGCATTAAATCATCTTACCTCCAGTGAGTTTGGGCTAATTGCTTTCACATTTTCAACTTTCAGTGTGCAGCAACCGACAGTGTCCGCTTCATCATCATCCTGAGTAACGAAAAGCAAACAAATTGGTAACCATATAATACACTCTGCTAATACAAGCAACGATTCTTTGTGGAATTAAAAAATTTAATGTCTAGTCAAATGTAAATCCTTACTACTATTTTGAAGAGGCTTCTTTTTTTCTATTGTCATACATACGAAAAAGAGTTTCTTCTAGTGAGTACAACTTCGTAATTTAAGTTACTTAAGAACAGGAATCTGGAAAGGAGACATGTTGTACTTATCTCCACAAAATAAGCAGAACCAAAGTAGTGGTCTAAACATGAAAAGGAACGAGCAATTCCATCTCAAGCATTCCAACTTTACATGACTAACACATGGAAAGTCATTTCATCAAATTCATAATGAATGTCAATTGTATCTCAAAACAATTACAGGAGAATAGTTACTTGCAAACACCTCATTTCGGGACCTTCTTATATCTCATATAAATTAAAAAATTGCAAAGTGATGCTTAATAATCTTGGATATAATGGCTTGTCCAATTGTGCCAGATTAGCAAGATAATCCCATCCTTCACCAGAGTCATCACAATAGAGTCCATCGAAAAGCAAGTTTGCAAATTGGTGAGAGAGAGAGAGAGAGAGAGAGGGGAGGAGGAGTCGATCTTGATGAGTTTCACATATGTACCTTCTCATTGCCAGCCCTCAGAGCCAGTTTATCAATCAGATAAGTAGCAACCGCTATCTGCCGCTTCATAGCATCTCTACTCATAAAATCCTTGGTGTATGCTGCCCTGATGTTCGCTATGTAATCCTATGCTCAAAATATCAAGTTTGGCAATCAGTTATGAATCATATTAAAAATATTTAATGACAAAATTGATCACTGCCAACATCTTCCACTCAAGTTCTGCTGTACCTTCAACATCCTTGCTTTCTCATATTTCTCTTTATCACTTTGGCCCTTCAAGGAACTGCTAGCAGCAAGGAAGACGTATTTAAATTCCCTCGGATTAATAGGATCGTTCCAAAATGCCAACCACGTGACGGTGTTATCATGCCTTACTTCTTTCCATCTGCCACATATCAAGAGTCCAGAATTCTTAATTTATAAATAAAGAAGATGAAATAACAACTTGGAAATCAACTTTGTTCCTGGAGGACATAAATGACAGTACTTTTCACCAGGGATGGGACATTCCGGCACAGGAACACCTTTCCCAATATTGATTGTAATATCCCTCGGACGAATGCGTCTCTTCAGCTTTCCCATCTAAATCAAAACACACCAGCCATTAGGAATGAGCGAAATGCATGTGTTTAATCTTAAAAGTCCACATATCAAAGAAAACGTCATTGAGCCAGGAGAAAAGACATGCAGTCAAAGGTTATGCATGAAACCTTTGGATGTTCTCCACGTCCACGGAACAAACCAGGCGGTTCAACCCTGAAGTTTCCAACCTGTGGTATAACTTACTGTCAGCATTCAGTAAGATAAAGCACAATTATGCTCGAAAAAATGCTGAATTGACCAAAGATGCAGTAAACTACATAATTCCGCAGTAACCTAGCATCACATTAAAAGCAATGGAAAATCCCATGTCCCAAGAGAACAACAACCCAGATACAGATGAAGGATGTAGTTCGAAAAGACACAACATTATCGACTGGACAAGTTTCAAATCACTAGCACTAGTGTAAAACAAAGTTTTGAGATTTACTGCTCATTGATGCAGAAATAAGATATCGAGGAAGTTAACATATTAACAATGTTATTAAACAAAATAGAGATGCCTCAGCCTCCGTAAATTCGAACCAAATAGCTAAACAAATTGCATTGAACTTTAGCCAATCTTCAATCCAAAAATGGAACACAATCGTAAAAGAAATTCTCAAAAAACGGAGAATAACAATTAAGAACTTATAGACATTACATCACTTGAAAGTGTTTCAGGGTAATCCTTAGTGAAAAAGAAGAAAATAATGACCATATAACTGAAGAAAATTTCAATACCGAAGGAAGAAATGACAAGACACAGCAAACTATTTGAGGGGCATTGTTCAGATCCAGAATACACAAGACATGATCAAGGATTAGAGATAGGATTAACCTTTTCTTTCACACCATCCACAATGGCCCACATGTACTTCTCCTCCTGCTTCATCTTGTCTTCCTTGAGGGCATTCTTTTCCTGCATGAAAGACAAAATCTAAAACATCTACAGAAGCAACAGAAATTGACACAAGTAACATTTGGCATCATGACATTAAGAACAGCATATAACATGTTGGCACCTATTAAGCACCCTAATACTGTGCATAACCAGAGGCACAAAAGATAATTCATTTCATAGTATTCATAGTGAAACGGAAGGACATCTCAAAATTTCAGCAGTAGAAATCATCACAGAAGCAGCTGATAGTGTCTGCATCACATTCAAAATGCTTCCGCATCTGAAATAAAATTTGATTTCACATCATACTATTGGCTGCGAAATAGCAAAATGGGTACTTCCGTATCATAAATTAAGGCCTCCCGAAACTTTTGATCAAGTCCCAATTTTACCCTAAACTTTTTTTTTCCTATAAAAAACCTCCAACTTTCGGTATAGTCCTGATTATACCATAAATTTTTTTTTGTCTCTTAAAAAACCACCAACTTTTACTTGAATCCCAAATCTGCCCTTGTTAATCCTCTATCCAAAACTTCTCTTGACAATTGAGAGATGGAAAACTCCCAAGCACGAGAGATAGAATACTAAGCACAAAATCAAAGATCCCCGAGCCAAATGAAAGGAAGACTCTCTTAAAAGCAAGAGCAAGTGAAGAAGGCCAACCTAATTGCTCTAGTTTTTAACCAAAATTCATATCCAAGAAGACGTCGTTTGGGATGATGTGGAAATTTATCTCCAAAAAAACGTCTTATTGGATCAGAAATTTAGGGAAAACTAGAGCAATGACGTGGAAATGCCACATCACTAAGGGCAATACTGGACAGAGTGTTAACGGGAGCAAATATGGGACTCAAGTAAACATTGGTGGTTTTTTATGAGACAAAAAAAAGTTTAGAGTATAATTGGGACATGACCAAAAGTTGAGGGTTTTTTTATCATACGCAAAAAAGTTTAGGGCAGAATTGGGACTGGAGCTAATGTTGAGGGTTTTTTAGGATATTAGGCCCATAAATTAAACACGCATGGATGAACAATTAAATCACAGCAAGAGCCAATTATAGGCAATGGTAACACACAGCAAAATCTTCTCATGAGGACTTTGACCTATTAATGCGCCACAAAAATATGATGTCCCCTCATTAGACTAGCTGCAGGCATGAAACAAGAAAGTAAACGACCATGCAACAAAGACTGATGATAAGTTGAAATTATTAGTTGATATAGCAATTTACTAGCTCAAGCAAAGTGAATAAAACTTACTTCTTTAGTCATTTGCTTCTTCTTCTCTTTCTCCTGCTGACACCAATCATATATCGGGGTGAAATCACAGTGTTCCAATTTCTGAATCACATGGTTGCTTCCAAGAATCTTTTTCCAATCAGTCCAAAAGTTCTCCTTGAACTTATCTTTCTGCATGTAGTCTGTATCTTTCATCACAGCAAACATTGTAGCCACCTGCAAATCAAAATCCCAACAAATGACTAACCAAATATTAAGCATGACCCATGAAAAAAGAAGCCTATGATCAGAAAGATAGCAGAAGAATACAAAAGAGGAGAGAAAAGGGGATGGCTCACTTCCTCCTGTTCCGGAGTCAAATCGACAGGCTTCCCTTTGTAAAGCATCTTTACACCATGAGGTTTGTATGGAGGTGGAAAAATTACCCCATTGTGAACCAAGGTTGTCCATTTTTTCTGGCCATCGCCGGAAGTAGGTGTTACCTTAGTGGATTTAGAATACTTTGACTTTTTCATTACTTTCTTGAAATTCTTGGTTGGCTTCGTGATCTTCTTCTTTATTATAACCTTTTTCATATTGTCCTTTGCCGAGGAAGACTTGTTTCCTGATGCAGAAGCTGCTGCTGGCTTTTTCATTCTCTGGGAAATTGGAATGTGGTCATCATCATCTGACTCCGGTTCTCCTTTCACCGATGGTTTCGACTTCGTTGATGTTGATGCATCGCTAGTCTTTAGCTTTTTGACTGACAACTGATCAGAGGAAGTTGTCTTCTCTAGTGGCCTTTTATTTGACACAGTGGAAGATTTTGCTTGATGCTTACTTAAGGCAAAACCATTTTGCTGTGTTTTCAGTACCAAAGGTTTCTTTTCATCAGAAGCATAACGGTTATTAGAAGATGTAGATGTATTGGATTTCTGAGGCAACCTTGATGCTAAAGGCTTTTCATCGTCTGAATCTTCAGGAGAATTTTTCAAGGAGGCCTTTCCCGATGATGGAGATAAAATAGGCATAGTGCGACTTTTGCCAGAGTTATCCTGAAGTCTACTACTCAATGGTTTATCATCATCAGAGTCACTATTGGATTCCTCTTTAGCAGCCACTACTGAACTCTGTTTGGACGAGTGCCTCGACTGATCCTCTGGTGACTTTGATAACTTTAAACCTGTCAGTGGTGACTTCATTGGGGGTAACTTGGCAGTAGACGATGATGCTTTTGGACTTACATCCGGGGATTTCATGGATGATGTCTTGGGAGAAGGATGGACCTTACCCTGTTGAGATCTAGCACTTTGACCATTTGAGGAATGTAACCCTGAGGATCCCGACAACGCATCAATCCTCTGAGAAGGTGGCTTCTTCACTTCAGTCTTTATTGGAATTTTCTTTGATGTAGTACTGCTCCTTTTGAAGACTATAGGCGTGTCATCATCATCGAAATCATCAGATACACTGGGCTTTAGAGGAGCCTGAAGCGCCATCGTCCAACAAAGTATTTCCTTTGCATGTATATGCAATCAATCTCTGATACAACAGAACTCGAATCCTTTTAAAGAGAAGCAAATCTGCCAAAAGCGAGCGATGATGATCAGAAATAGAATGAAGTCAAATATAAAACCAAAAAAAAAAAAAACAGTCCAAGAGGTTTCTCAAAAGAACTTGGGTAAATTGGGACTATTTCCAATCAGATCACTATAATTTCGAAAAGATTTCAATAACGTCCCTCAATCAACATCGGGCGTAATGAATGGATAAGGAAATGACCTTACTGAAACCAAGGCAAGAGCATAGCAACTTCAATTAATTTTCTAAACCCGGCAGCCCGATCAGATAGCACCGAACTAGAATGACCAAACAAGTTATTCGAAAAGGCAAACAAGGGTGGGAAGAAGCACAGAGGGAGACATCACACGCTCGAAAGCATCATCGACTCGAAAATTTTAAATTGCACAACCTGCTCTTAGATTAATCCTCCTCTTTTCACTAGAGAATACAATGTCCAAGAGGATTAAGGATTTCACCTAAAAATCAGCTCAATCCTAATAGGAACATCGGAGGCTTCTTCATCGCACCAACCCTCAAAAGCACTTAAAATCAAAAGCGCCTCCCCAACTCAGATAACCTATGCCATAAGGAGAAATGCCCAGTTCGCCGCCCCGGACCCCGATTCACAATCGGCCGACGGGAGGCGAAACTCGGCACCCGGTGTCAGAAACTCACCCCCACAAGCTAGCGCCAATCCAATGCCCCGAATTTGGCGGGAGCGGGACCGATTTCCGGCGTCTCCAGCTCCGCGGCGGAGCCCCCGTCGGGAACGGCAGAGCTGCAAGAGAGAGCGGGGCGAAGCAGGTTCTTAGAAACCAGTGCCCCCGGAGCTACAGAGGCGATTGAACAAAGGAAGAAGAGGAAGAGGAAGGACGGAGTGGGCCGAGCGCGCGGGGGCTCGCCGCACCTGCAATCGCCGTCGGATTTCCGGCGCCGACGGGGGATTGATCGAGCCGCGAGTGGAATTGGTGGGGGGGGCCGGTGGCTATGGCGACGGGGAGCAGGAAGCGAGCATTCGCTGACTGAAACCCTAGCTGGAGGAGGAGGACGGAAAGAAGGAGCTCGCGTCTCTCGCTCTCTCTCTCTCTCTCTCTCTCTATCTCTATCTGTCTCTTTTATCTGAAACTCATTTGCATTCGATTAGTTTGGAAGGTTTCTGCATCGCTTCGCAGGTGACGGTGACTTCCCGTCCTATGGGCCGCGCTTCCGGCCCAATGGGCCCTCTTTATTTGGCCCTTGCCTCGGTTTTGGCCCATGCTTTTCTCATGGGCTTGAAATGCTTCTCTCCTTCTTCAGTCAACATAGGGGTGAGCATGATTCTAGGGTCCGGTTCTAGGATCCAGGGTATGCAGGAGAGGTTCCGGGTTGCAAAATTGAGGAACTAGTTAAGATAGGCAGGATCACTCGAAAACAAGTTTTTTGTGTTTTTCTTGTTCTATATCTTCGCGCAATCCTACGGTATTTTTTGAGGTCCGATGATGAGTGTATAATTTGAAATTAATAGTCTAACAATCCATATCCGGCATTATCCATAAACGAGACTTTTACTTTGCTAATATTTCATATTTTTCGTGTGTCTAAATATAAATTGTGATAAGTGGATTGTAACAGCAAATTATGGTCATTGGAGGTAATGCTTCGCCGTAATCGTTCAATTAAGAATACATGTGGAACCTGAGTAGACCGTGAAACCTGTGATAGAGTAGGTTTCACGTTCCAAAGTACACAAGATGACTTCCATATTCCAAAAATTTGGAAACCAATTCCGATAGGTAGATTCTAGGTTCCAAATGAAACCTGAACCAACCCTGGAACTGCTCACCGGTAAGTCAAAGCCACGTGGTTACAAGCGAAAAGAACCTCCATAAAGGTGACTGTATCAAGAAACATTTGGCCTCGCACCTCAAACAGGTCGCTAAAGAATACTCATTTGTCATTACACCTAGGGATGAGCATACTTTCATGGTAGAACTTTGAACCGGAGAACTGGACCGGTGGGAACCTATCGGTTCCAAGTTCCAAGGTATACAAGGTAGGTTCCAAAAATTTGGGAACTTGTTTTGACGAGTAGATTTTAGGTTCTAGGTAAGTGGAACCTGAAACGAGTTTTTGTGTTTTTCTCGGTCTATGTCTTCGTACGATCTTGCGGTATTCCATAGCGTCCGATGATGAGTGTATAATTTAGAACCACTAGTCTGAGCTTCCATTTTATGATTGAGACTTTTTCTTTGTTAATGTTTTGTATTCTTCGTGTGTCTAAATATAAATTGTGGTCAGCGGCTTCTAGCAGCAAATGATGGTCAATAAATGTGATGATTCATTATAATCGTTTAATTAATAATACAGGCGGAACCTGGGTAGACCATGAAACAAATCCCGGAGCTTGTGATAGGATAGATTCCAAGTTCCAAGGTATGCATGTTAGATTCCGGGTTTCAAAAAATAAGAAATTTGTTACCACGAGTGGGTTCCAAGTTTTAGGTGAGACCTATACGGAATCTGAAATCGCTCAATCCTAGTTACACCTCTCACGTCGCATCTCACGAAACATTTTAATGCCCCCGAGTCCACACCTTTTGGCCACAAAGCCACCAATTAGTGCATATCGTCAAACACCGTGCACTCATTCCTTACGCTGCCACACTTGGCATGAAAACTCAACAAGGAAATCCGCGGATATGAATCTGGGTCTATTCTATTTCTCGCGATATGTCCATAAACAGCCCTGCCTCCAGCTGAAGACTCCTTCGAAGCACACAACCACGCAACATACTCGGGTAAAGTCCAAGCCTTTGTTTGTCGTCAGACTTAGCACGTCTCTGGGCCAATTTATTCTGAAGTTTCTTGCTTTCAGGTAAGGAAGGCAGCGTCCGGGAAGTTCCTCCGCAGTGGATAATGTCATCTCTTATGCTGTTTGCTTCAACGGCGCGGAGCGAAGCCCGGGAAGAGCGAGATAATATTCGACGAGAGAGAAAGAGCGGTTCCGAGCAGCTGCGACGCCTCTTGAGGAAATGCAGTTTCACGGGCAGCGAGAAGCCCGGGAAATGACAGTTTTTGCTGACGTGATATTCTCCAGCATGCACCTGTGTTCCCTCTCTGTTTTTAAGTTGACTTTTTTTTTTTTTTGACATGGACTTCTTGTTATGCTTCTTCAAAATATTCAAATGCCGCTAGTGCAATTGCAGCTCTAAAGCTCTTAGGGGTCATGATAGCCATGAGCTCGAGGCGTACGACCTTTAGATCTCATGACCACGTCTCGCGAGCTTTGAGCTTGAAAAGCCACATAGCGATCGCGAGTTTCAAGCTTGGGTTTGAGTGGCCATGACGGTTGTGAGCTTCAAAGACAGATTTGACCATATCCTGCAAGCTTTGAGCTCAAAAAATGGCCATTCTTCGAACTTAAGCAGCAATAATAGCCACGAGTTTTAAAGCCAAATCTGGCAGTGGCGGCTGCAAGCGTCAAGTTCAAATAGCCATGGGGGTCGCAAGCTTTGAAGCTGGATTTGGCCATGGCGAATGCACAGCTTCGAGCTCAAACGGCCATGGTTGCAATCTTTGTGCTCGGGCGGCCATGGCGGTTGTGATCTTTGAAGTTAGATTAGGCCATGGCGGCCGCAAGCCTCGTGTTGAGATTGTCCCAACATCGGTTGTGGAAGGGCTAGTGGTCGATTTATAAGAATGAGGGAAAGTCTCGTTCTTTAAGCTAGCTTTTGGGTGAGAGAGGCCCAGGACCACCCAACACTGTATCAGAATCCAATGCCAACAAGTCTAGACCCAACAGTCATACGAGAGAAATATCAATTGTCGCGCTCCAACTCAAGGCCAGGGAGATTGTTGAGATTGTCCTAACATCGGTAGTGAAAGGGGGTTGGTGGTCGATTATAAGTGTGATAGAAAGCCTCACCCTTTTGAGCTAGTTTTTAGGGTGAGAGAGGCTCAAGACCATCTAACACCTCGGGCTCAAATAGCCATGCCCAAAAGCTTCGAGCTCGATCTGGAGCAACCATAGCGATCAAATCATCAACTTCGAGGAACAAGGTAGGACACACTTGCTTCACTTCTCTTAACAAATCTATCAAGACTTGTTAGGATTATGCACACAAACATAATTAAATATAGAGTAAATTTGAGAAAGCAAAATTAAGATACAAGTTTTATCCTAGTTCACTCTTAAGCTAAAGTTATATTTAGCAGAGAATTTCACCATAAAGGCACTCTAGCAAAACCTGAGGGTGCTGCCCCCTTGCAACCCCCACCAAGGAGGCCCTCCGGATCCCCGCCCACTCGCTAGGAAGCGGGACGCCCGTGCCATTTTGTCGATAGGGAGTATGAACCGCCTCTCAATAGTACTTTTAATAAAAGGTGTGTGCTCCATAACATTTACATTACTCTCGACGAGGCTCCTTTGGCCTTTGGTCCTAAAGCCAGAAAAATCAATATCCAAATATCAATTTTAGATGGGTGCTTGCTAAAATAATATTGTAGTAATAACGTTTCCCAATCTGGTCCATTGTAGTATGATAACCCCTCACGCCTAAGTCGTTCTTCCATTTCCGAAACTAGTTACGTATACTTGCTCCTAAAATTTGAGCTTCATCTTTTCTATACTCTAATTCATATGAATCACAAAAGCCTGAAAAGCTGAAAAGGAGAGAACAAAAAGCAGAATAAATCATCTCCTTTTAGCTCTTCCTTACATCATTCCTATTACACTCAGTTCGGTGAATCAAATCTGTAACAACATGGTGAGTATATCTTAGACAGTGTAATGTTGTTGGATGGTCTCAATATCAAGCCCCTTCAGCTTCACCACCGACTCAACATGCCCCTTGAGAGTATGCAGCTCCCTGAGCCTGCAAAAGTAATTTGGTTTTCAGAATTCACTTGAGGTTGATGTAATCTTTCTAGACTGAGTTCAGTAAAAGATTTAAGTCTAGAATATGATGTCCAGAATATGCGCGCAATTGTATCTAATTGCAAGAATTTGGGGTTTTCTGCTAGCTTTTTTAAGTTGTCATTCTCATAAAACTGTAGTAGAAGGCGTCGAGGAACGGCTGTGGCATACATTCACGAGTCATGACAACTGACAGAAAAATTTTGGTTAAAGGTTGTGCCGAAGTTTCTTCATTCTCCAAGCTGACCATTCTTTCCTCAGCAATTTACTCGAGGCATTGGAGACCAAGAAATGAAAAAAGGATAATAGCCCTTCTTCTGCTCTTGAGTTTGAATAATTTTGCTAGGCCAACTCATTTTAAAGTGTGGAGTGAGCCATAATTCTGACCTCATACGATTGACATATCTTTCAATGAGAATGAGGGTCGTTACCTTGCGACTTCGGCGCGTCTCTTGGCTTGTTCAGCAATCTCAGACAGCTCCTCCGTGCTGCTCTTGTCATGGAAGAGAGTCTCCGGAGGATTGAGACCGTGAAGAGTACGTTGAGCTATCGCCCATTGCGCCTCCCTCTCACCCTTGCCGTAATCCTTCTTGGTAGTGAAAGCGGTCTGCGTAATCAACCAATAAAAGAAAACGAAGAAGATTAAAATCAAATGGGTAACGATATACGCAAGTGAGAAGTATGAAATCTGTGAAAGAATGAAAACCTTGTTCTGCAACATGTTGTCCCAGGCCTTGCCACTCAAGCTGTAGCGGATGATGAACTTGAGGATGTCGAGAGGGAAGTAAGTCACAATGCTATAGATCCAGATCACTCCAGCCCATCCCCATCCAATGCCTTGGATCCTCGCGAATTCCCAGCTCGCGTAAACAGCAATAATCGTGGCAACCTTTCAATCATACACAAGTTATACAAGAATTTAGAGATGTTTCAATCAGGTCTTTTAGGGGAAAACAGTGCAAGTGATATTGTGATTCGCAAAAGAGATCGTTAAGCATACTTACTAGCTGGGCTGCAATGAAGGCGACTACAAGTAAGAGTCCTGGCCGTTCAACGAATGACCAGCTTCGCGAGCGAGTCACAAATATAAGAGCTTGGCTTATGATGCTCACTTGCAGGTAGAGGGCTGCAGTGAGCTCATCCACATTATTTTTTATTGGCCTCACCCCGAAAGAATTCTGCGAGAAACCCACTTTTAGCTTTTCTTGCTAA